GGCTGCTAGCGAGCTACATCCACCCTGAAGGTTAATCTCAGACAATATCTGACGATTGACTCTTTTAAATGAAACCAGAGAGCGTTGACAGAGAGAAGGTAGAAATGACTCAACCTGTAACTGAAAATATGGATGGAGGACAACAGAGCTGCTTCATGGAAGAAGAACCTCAGCTTAGCCTGTTAGCTTTAGCATTAGCCTAGACTCTATCACCATATATATGTATTAGCTCAGCACTACACATTCTCCTCTCGTGATTGAGGTCTATCTGGCTTTCTAACAAGAATCTCCAAAAATGGCTTTCTTCTCCAGCTCACGGAAAGCTCCTCTAATTTCCCAGATGCCAACCGGTTTGACGTCTCGCCCTTTATTTGAACCAGAGCAGGTGAAATCAGAGTGCATTTACACTGCATGTAGAAGGCACTAACTGAATTATCCCGGCATTATGTGGCCTCTGGTCCAGCCTATCTGCGTAGTAGGATGCATAATTTGAGCGTTAATGTAATTTACATTTTAACACAGTCCTAAAAGTAAACCGATTAGATGATAGTTATCTACTAATGTGCCAAGAGGACGCACATGTTACTTGCATCCAGAGAGACGGGCAGGATTACACACGACAAGGTTGGCCTTGCAGGAACATAGACAAAGAAATGATGCCTGCCAGAAGGACAGACGACAGAGAAAAGGGACCACGCACACACACAAAGCACACWAGAGTCTCCAGCACAAAATCCTTTGAGGTAAATGGTTGTCGTTCAGGTTTGGTAGTGTAGCAATTCTCTCAAACACGATCTATTTTTCTTCTTTATTTTCAAGGACCTTTAAAAATATCATACCAATAAGGAGTTAGATGCGTAACAATAAATATGAAGGATATAACAGTGGGTTTTCTGATGTACTACCAGTCTTTAGACCACTTGGTGGCATCAACAAATTCATGTTTGCAAACAGATTTAAAAGGCAGCTGACTTGAAATGCACCAAATTAATTCATTTAAAATTCAAATCAAAAASCTTAAAGTGTTTTTATCTCTGTCCCAGCAGAGATTCATCTTTTCATGGGACAAATTATTGTCCCCGTAGATGATAGAAGTGCTTTTTTTAAAATAATAACAATAATATAAAAAAAACAGTGCAACAGAGTTGCAGTCCCATGATGCAACTCTCCCAGTGGTTACATCTGCTCCATTCTTTCATCMTTCTCCATTGTTAGGTGGGAGCTGTCACATTAGGAGGAGAATCGTGGCTCCTTCCCACCCCCAAGTACCCCCTTTTCCCATTCCAGCAGTTGGCAGGGTGGCAGGCCTATACAAAGGAGCATGCACCAGGAGCGCAGAGGGGAGCACCGTTAGAGGAAAAACAGTTTGGGAATTAAGGTCATTAATTTTCCACTTTCAAGGGCTGCCACACAGACGGAGATAAAGTCAGCATAAATATTCTGCCGAAGTTTCTCCTGTTTTTCTCCTCTCCCCATTTTCATCGGCAGCCCATTTATCTCCATGCTGTCAATTAGAGGCAAAAGCAAAGAACTAATTAGGAACTGTGCAATTTTAATTAGCTGTTTTGATAATTAAACTAATTGGTTCCCTTGTGTTTCTGCAATGTGTGCTGAGAACTTTTTGATATCTGGGCAGCAGATTTTCTATCCGCTGGTTAATTAGTCACTTTTGCATTAAAAAGGAGCCTTCCTTAATAGCCTTAATTTGCAGTTGAAAAGAGAATCTACCATCAATAATTTGTGTAATTGGTAACCGTTTGATTGTAATTTAGAGGCACGGCCGGACAGCTCGGCATGTCTAATTCCTAATGACTAGGATTAAAGTTGGATTAGCTATTTGGGAAAGGGATTCACTCTCCCCTCTTCCCTACCCACCAAGTGACACCTTGTCTACATTTGATTGGTCATGAAATTCAAATTGACTAGGTGAACAGCAGGGCTTAAACTGGTTTTATTACTTTCTATATGCTGAGCCTGTCAGGTCACATCAAAAAGATTGCAATGATTCTTATTTTCCGCCCACCCGGCGAGGAGCTCCACGAAGAGAATGAAAAGTGGTTACAATTTATTATGTGATGTGTTAAACCTCTTCTATCAAAGACATTTGTGTACGTCTCTAAAGGGAAATGTTGCCAAATTCAACCACTAGGAGGAGCAGATCCTTTAGTCTCAATGTGCATCATGCCTTATTTTGTGAAACTACTTTTTCTTTTTGGGATTTTAGTGTAAAATTGCAAATAGTAAGACTCATAAAATGTTTTGTACACTGTCTTTCTTCAGTAACCCTTCTGTAATGTTGGTGCATTCAGGTGTCGGCATAAAATGCATGTAAATGTAGGTAGAACCTGGAAGGCCCTGGACATCTTTGAGCATCTCAACTATCAGGCACCGAGTCTATATTTCTARAACACACAGCCACGTCAGTACTCTGATTAAAAAGCACCATTCATCCCACTTAGGCAGAATACAATTAGGGAACATGGCTTTAAAAGCCCAGCCCTGAAGCCTCTCCCCCCCTATTCCACATAAAAGGAGCACTCTCCACCGAGGCTTGCCTGTAAATATCATGTTTGATATGAGGTTTTAATCTGCTTAGCCGTTCTGAACTATAGAATGGGCTCATCGTCTCCCTGAAACCCCTGTCCAACGGCTGTGCGCCTGAGGATGAACACGAACACAACACAAGTGTGCTATCTGATTAGGTGGGGTTAATTACAGTGCACTGTTTTGTAGTGGCTGCATTTGAGAGCCGCCCATAAATAGATGGGCATGGCTAATGCATGCTCAGAAATGAATTCTAATTAACTGTGAACCAGAAAGGCTCACTCAGGGGCCTGTTTCTAGTATTCACTGACCCAGGTGTTGGATGTGGAGTGGGAAAGGGTAGGCACCTAAGACACGTTGGGGGGGGGGGGGGGGGGGGCTTAGATGTTCATCCTGACCCACAAAAACACAGCAAGTTGTGACTTAACACACGGGTGATTTGCGTTGATAAAAAGTTCTTTATTAAGGGCTACTATGAAACGTATTCATGTAATTAATATTGCCTACCACCATGAAAGGCAAGTAATCGTGTGCCTGTGTTTAGTTGTTTGTTAGGAAATTATCTCATAAACAAGAGGATGGGTTTTATTGAGACTCTCAGAAATTAATAATTAAATCTACATCTAAAGTCTTAGCAAACATAAAAACGGCTGCAATTAAACTGTGGTAGAGGCTGGGAGTTTATCTCAACACAGTTTGTAGCTTTGGCATCATTGATTCGCACTCCTTCAAGGAACTTTCATTAATCTAGCAGTCCAAATGAGGTACAAATGCAGGTGACACTTTGATGCATACAAAACTTTATTAACAATAGCTGTACAACATGTGGTTCACCAATGACATCCTTCCAGTAAATTTCCATCTCCTCATTCAAACCCAATTTACCGGCCCTCGCTGATTGGTCTCATTCAAATGTTAAATGGCTTTTTGAAGTAGAGCCCTGATGATACCAAACCATTCTCCATCTCTTTTTTTCTGCCATTTTCTGTGTGATTGGATTAATTATGTGTCACTCACTCAATTCCATAGGTCAGCAGACACATTCTTGGTCATAAGTCATCAATCCATGCGACCGTGGAGACGAAAAGTCAAGCATGTCAGCCAGAAAGCTGGCTGGAGTGGGGATCAGACCATTGATTTCAGGGCCAACCCAATCTTACCGCAGCCTGCTGCCTTGAGAACTGAAATTACCCCTATGGGCACCACGCAGCAAGCTCTTAGATGTTAGATTTGTGGCACATGATCAATTTAGAGGGCCCAGTAAAATGTTTATTTAAAATGCAAAGACGGGTAATTATTAAACGGCAAGGCATAAGAAGTTCACACACCGCAGTTAAAACAGAATCTATAAAAACACTGCAGTGTGGTTTAACTCAAAATAGTCATGCCGAGTCCTCATCTATTTTTCACCTCCACCCTATTAGAGAAATATAGTTCACAAATGAGGTTGGAGCACTAAAAACAAAAGGTTTTGTGCACTTTTTGAGCACTCGTTTAACTTTTATTTTTCACAATTGTTTGGCTATAAGAACCGGCGAGGATAATGCACTTAAAGGATGTAATATGTGGTGCAAAATGTAACAGAAGGCAGGGACAGACTGAGCGAGCTCACACCACAGACAGCCTGCTGGCCGCTGACAAACCAGCATTATTGTAGCTGTACTCCACTCCACTCTCCTAAATGGCTAATCTTTGTTGGATCTCACCCTTAATTGGTTAACAGTCTCCGCAGGGCAAGTGAAAGTGGTGCTATTTAAGGCTCCACCATGAAACAGCAACACTTTCATCTTGGCAATAACAGGCAACAATTATATTACCAGATTCGAAGCTGAACCTTCTATCTACCCACTAATCAAAAACGCGGCCCATCTGTTGTGCTCGTCTCTTTTGAAACCGACTGTTTATCTGCAGCCTGTATGATAACTGTGTCTGGACACTAATTAACAGCTAAACAGGCCGCAATTAGATGGTTTCAATTCTGCAGAGGGAAAAGTAAGAGGAAGAAAACAACAAGCGCGTTTTTTTTTTTATGTTTACTCAAAGTCTACCAGGCACCGATGGAGCAGCATCACTCTCGCTCAACATCTCTCCCTCAGTGCGTGCGCACGGCGTCAATACAACCCCACGTGCGTGCGCGCGCGCGCTCTCTCCCGCTCGCGCACGCCCAGACTGGCAGGCAGCCCTCGTGCGCACGCGCGCGCACACTCACTTTCCCTTAGCTGTGCTTTTGTGTTTTGTCAGAATTAATGAGAAAAGTTCCCTTGCCCTAGGGGTAATTAGTGTCCTTGGAGTTAAATAAGCTAATACTTAGACACCTCTGGCACAAGCAATTATGTTTGTGTATTGAATAATTGATTCAAAGAGGGGGGAGGGAGGGTGGGCTGCTAATCAGATCTGAGCATAATGAATTGATTTAATTAACAGGGGAATCCGAGGGTCTCTGGAAACTGCGCGCATTTATTCAGCAGCGGCAGAGAGGCGAGCGCGGCGCACGAGACTGGAGGCAAGAGGAGGAAGAGGCGGCGCGACTTTGCTTTTAGCAGTTGACAGATTTGCAATTGGATTTGTTTGAATTTAGTTGCCGTTCCGGAGCAGAGGAGAGCGCGAAAGGGAAGAGCATTAACAGCGAGGATAGAGGAGAGCTCAGCCGTGTGTGCGCGCTCTTTGCCCGCATAGATTTAAGCCGCTTTTTATTGTTTTTCGCCCCCTCGATTTTTCTTTTTTTCCCCTTTTTTCTTTTTTTTCTACCCCTCTTTTTCTTCTTTCTCGCATGGAATTGATCAAAGGCAACAAACGCGGTGTGATCGCGATTTATTTGCGTTCCAGCTCAGCCCGGAAAGGGGGTTCTCGTCGTGTTTATCGCGTTCCGTGTGTGAATTATTATTGATAACAGGACAGAGGAAAGAAAGAAAAAATTACGTGCAGGGAACAATCCATCTTTCCAGCAGTGGTGGTGGGGGGGTTCTTTATTTGGGGTGGGTGGGGGGTGTCCATCGAGGTGCAGGCTAGTCAGCCGCGCGTTTCAAAGCCATTTCCAGGAGAAGCTGTGAGCGGACCGGAGCGTGCAGCCCTGCTGGAGCCGAGGACGGACCGCCCGGGGAAGGACTCCTCGTTCCTCAGGACGATGGTGTTGGACAAGGAGGAGGGTGAGTAAAAGCTGCAATAACCTGAGGAAACCACTGACATTTGCGCACCTTTAAGTGCTTCCCCCCACTGTCACCTCTGGACCCCGCGCTCCCACCGGCTTCCCCTCAGACAGGGTTCATGTGTGTGTGTGTGTGTGTGTGTGTGCGTGTTTTTGGAGTGCGGCTGCTTTTCTGCGCCGTGAAGTTCCCCCGAAACGCGCTGCCCCCCCACACAGTTCAGTTCGGGAAGAGTTGCGTGTTTTTATTTCGCCGCACATGCGTGTGCCTGCGTTCTGATGGAGTTGTGAGGAGGCTGCGGCGCTCCTCTCCGCTTCCTTCCCTCCTCTAAGTGCTTTTTTGCGTCTGTGAAGTTGGCGAGGCGGCCCTTTGACATCAGCACGGGATGGGAGATGACAGCAGTGCTTTTAACTTGATTGCAAATTATGGATAGCGCCGCCGCGACGTTCACTCCCCTTCCCATCAAAATAGGCCTGCTTGCATTACTTATCTATTTCAATGTATTTAGGTTAATGGGCGAGGCAATCTAATTAATTTTAATTTAAATCAAACTCGCCTCTAATGACGTCCCATTTTGGATTAAAGTGATGCTCAGATGTGCACTGCATTCATCACACTCACTTGTGCTCACACATCTACAACAGGCTTAACAAAGGTTTATATGGTGTGAAAGAAAGTATTGGTTTTCTTTATTTTTGGGTGGTGGGGGGGGTATAGACCACCTGCTGGCATTCACAGTGACAGCCTCCATGCACCATATAACACGTTTTATTTCTTGGTGTATTTCCCTGAAGTTTATTCAGCTCTCTCTCTCTCTCTTCACATGAAAAGTAATGGATGCATTTGTAACCCATTATTTATGATTGGAAATTGATGTTTCATTTGTCTTAGTGGTTCATCCTTACACTTACACATCTAAAAACCAATAAAAGGATTGCTGCGGAGACATAAATTGGTCTGTCTGGCTGCAGCCATGTTGCGCTAATGTACTCAAATTAACTCAACTGTAAATTGCCTTCTTTAGATGTCTATCTTGCTAAAAGTTTCCCATATGATTCATGATTCAGATTGCTTTTAACAGTTATTGGCTAAGCAATATGGTAAATGTACAAGGTGATGCAAATGGCATTAGTGGGAAAGGATGCACAGGAGCATGTAATGCAGTCAATACTACATTAACTACTGATGCCCAATTACAGAAGCAGGGAGAGAGGCTTTTAGGAGCATTAGGACTTGCAGAAAAGCTGAGATCACCTGCTGCTCATTGCCTAAAAGCTTCACCCTTTATTTGCTGGACCCCAACCCCACAGCTCCAGCTTTTTGGCAAGGTTGTCATCAGAGCAGCTTTGGCTTGCTCTCTTTCTCTGTGGTGCCCTCTTAGCGTTTATTGTCTCTAAAGTTATAGGCTTGTCAATTCATGTCTAATGCATCCTCTAAGTGCCCAAACAGAAGTGTGTGTGTGTGTGTGTGTGTGTGTGTGTGTGTGTGTGTGTGCGTAAGGGAAAAGGTGTGGGGGGGTTGTGTTTTGGGTGGCCACACGGGTGGGCGATCACTCCATTTTTCTTCAAAGATTTACTCCTATACCTGCGTGTGTTTGCACGGACAGCCAAAGTGTTCATCTTACAGTCCCTTTGTGGTTTGTAAAACAGATCATCAGTTGGTCCGGTGGTGGGTTCAAACCCTGTGATCTAAGGTGGCAACAGCGTAATGATGCTGCTGGTTTGGCAGACTGGTTCTGAACACTGACGTGTCTTAAAAACTGCAACAGTTAGAAACTAAAGTGATCTTTTGTCCTGCCTTATCAAAGCTTCTAGGGAAAACAAATCTGCGTCACACATGTGCATAACGCTTCCAAATTACTGCTTCCAGTTGTTATTTTTCTCATAACTTCTTTGAATCAAATCTGAAACCTTTTTTTTGGAGCAAGAGAATCTGCTTTCATTAGACACATTTTTACACGTCTCTCACACCATTAGTTAGACACAAATTGTGAACTAACCGCCTTTAGAAAAAAATGATTAAGTCATTATCTTGCAAAGCACCAAGGACTACGAATAAATACATACTCTGCTCTTTAAAATGACCTAATATGCAGGTTATGGTTGATAATGAATAGCAACACATGTACCAGAATATTCTGTGTCAACYTTTTGCCTCACCCTGTGATACAAGGTTCCAATTTGCGTCTAATTTGAGAGGGGGGTGGGGAGAAAAAGCAACTCAGCCGTTTTCTGTCTTAACTACAGGAGAAGAAAGTGGGTCCATGCTGAAGGCATATTTTTGCTAAATATAAACATCACCACAGTTTGCTCCTTACAGAAAGGAAAAACCTCCATCCAGTCATGCATTTCTGGTCACCTTTGCTGGTTAATTTAAGATCCCGTTATCATCCTGTCCAGTGGAATTTGTACCTTCATAACACAAGTGATTGAAAAGCAATGCTTCAGTTGAATGCAGACTGGCAATCTGTCGGCTGCTGTAATAAAACTTGGGCTCCGGGCTCCGATATTTATTTTGAAATAATAAGAATTGCTTCATTCTTTACCAGTGTTACCATGGCAATACTGTCTTGTAGCAATGTTATATTGATTTAGAAAGTGGACAGTAATATTTCTTTTCTGTTATTCAGTTTCTGAGGGTTGATTTCTAATTTCCAGCTGGAGATTACTTTTAGATGTTCCTTAAGTCTTTTCACTTTTACAAAGGAATGCAATTTGCTCTTTTGTATTTGCCATTTTCTCAGCTTATTGGTTTGCTCGTACTTCAAAATTAAACTTGCCCATTTCAAATGCTGAAATTACATCTCGTTTTTGCGCTCTAGGCCTTGGACAATATTGCAAACATACTGTTTTGTGTGGCGTTTCTTAAGACGGGATCTTTATTTATTTGTTTTTTATTGAGCCCCCCCCCCCGTGACAACTGCATCGCTTCTGCTGCACTGTAAACGCAAGTCGTAACTGTGTGTTTCAAACAGGTGTGACCCGAGCAAATCTGCTTTTCTTCTGCTCAAACACACATCACYAAACAAAGCCTGTATCTGCATAGTTGGTGCAAATTAAATCCTGTGCACCATTCATCTTAAACTCCTAATGCAGACTTTAAAGAAAAAAATTGCCCCATAAAATCACATTAATACAATTTTGAACTGTGAGTGTTTAATTTCCTCTAATCTGAGTCTGATCTCACAGTTGCAGAATTCGCACCAGAGACAATTTCGTCTGTTGCCACTAAAACCTCTAAGATCCCTATCAGCCCTGATCGTTTTCACATTTACAAGCGCTGCAGATCTGTATCATGTTCGTGATCTAAGTGGAATTCAAAGGGACCGAATTGAGACACGAGAGACCCCGTTTTAGCGAGCGCACCCACCTACCTTCGATGTAAATGGCTGCACTCATCAGTGTGGTGCACAAACTTAATTATGCGCTCTTGAGCTGTAAGAGCATCCCTTTTATTACTGCTAGAGGCCACGCACTCACCATGTTTTCCTACATGTTCCCCGTAACAAGATGTGTGGTTGCAGCACACATCACGAGGCGCAGATGATCCCTGCTGTCACACCAAAACCTGACCCCCCTGCGTTTTAGTGTTCGCTCTAAAACTGCTGTCGATTTCAGGCTCGAGTCAAGTTAAGTGCGTGAAATGTAAAACTTCCCAAAAATGCACACTCAAACATTAAAGTGAAATCTGTTTTAACAAATATATTGGAATAGAAAGGTGTTTCTACACACACTTGGCTTGTAATGTCCCATAAGTCCTGACAGAGCTACTTTTTGCTGTTTGCAAAAGATTTTTTTCTGCCATCGAGGAAAAATGACCTGTTGAAGAATTACTGCGATTATCTTATGAGCAGATGTCCTTCCATATATATATATATATATATATATATATATATATATATATATATATATATATATAGGATATTGAAATATACATACACACACTAATGTGTCGTGAACTTATTTACCTGCAGCTCTTGTGTAATCACTTCTAAAATAATACCATGATGTGCATTTCTTTCAAGTATTGACTTGACTGAAGCAGGATTGTTATTACACCACTGCCAGTCATTTATTAATAAAGGTWACCAGATCTGACTTGTTAAACCGACATGATTGCAGGCAAACAGCATATATAATAATATTTATGGAATTTGAAATGGRGCTGTTGGGGATATTTAATTAGGGAAAAGATATGAGCTGATATTTTTTTTTTGTGGAGAAAAAAAAGTCAGTGAATCAGCAGTGGAAATGTTCCACAGTTGTCACGATATTTACATAATCAGCTGTTCATAAGTACTGCAAGTCTTGATATTGTCTCTTGTGATTGCAAGAGTTACAGAAATGTTTAAATGAGCACTAAAGTTTAACCACAGTTATGCTGTGTTTTATAGTTGTTTTACTTCTGCTAACATTTCAGACAGTGACACAGCAAAAGTCAACCAGGGGAAGTTCAAACTTGTTAACTGAGGCTAAGGAGCATATTTTCCAGACCATATTTGAAGTGTAATATAATGAAATACTAAACTAAAGCTGGTATATATAAATTTATATTATTTATAAAAATGCTTTAGCTTTAAATTTAAAAAAGAGGAAAATTTCTACACCCGACTATTGTTTGCAACTTTATTGCCAAAGTTTAATTATTCTCAAAAAAGTTAATTTTATCAACAAAACATGCACATGCATATTTTTTCTACTATAAGTATCATAAAAAAATACATAGACATACTTAGAAACATTCTTAAAATTGCAATTCTGAAATATTTTGTTATTATTTGTGCAACAATATTCATTCAATGTCATGATGACAGCCTTCACAAACATCACAAGTTAGTTTTTTTCCCTGATTTTCTGATATGATCAGCAGTAAAAATGGCATCTGCAGAAACAGTTAGTGTTTATATTTCAATCAGTCAGGTCTGTTGTGTTCTGCCTCTGCCTCCAGCGCATTTGTAAAATTTCTGATCTCCCCTTGGTTTTCATTTGTTCCTGACTGTGTGA